TATACAACTTTATACCCCAATGAACACGTGTAATAACCTATCAGAGAACGGTCCGCGGGTCTCAAGTGGCGTCTATTACATTTTTATAGAGAATTCGCCTCGATTCTCGTGGCTCGACCTAATTTCGCCATATGACTGAGGCCCAACTTGTGGTACAAGTCATGAACTTATTGGTTTGTAGTTTAAGATATAATAGTATATACAGCTTGTTGATATTCTGTATTAAACTTTTTCATTGATGTTTACATTTGCACACATTACGTAACAGAGCTATTTACTTTGATAATATTGTTAAGGAGCTTCTGATATTTGCGCTACAAGCGTCGTGTAACAGCGTCGAATTATCAGGAGCTTCTTAAACAATTGCACACAATATACGGTGTGTTGTTGCTGTTGTTAATATTCTGTCTAACTTTATTGTTTCACCACCAAATGATATCCTGTTTTGATTCAGGATTCTTCTGCATATTTCTCATAATCAATTATTATATTTTCGATAGTGGGATATTATATTATATTTTTGATTTAGCCATCGTTCTTTACTATCAACGTTCGCTGGTTCAATTCCTCGTACAGTGTGTGTGTACACTTGTACCAATGAGTATGTTTGTTTGTTAACATACACAAACGCTACCTCATTCAGATTATTATGCATATCGATTCGCACTTTTGCGATTTTGTCATTTTAATTCTAGTAGTTAATAATTCTAATAAAAATACTTTTTATGCTGTGTTACAGAAGTATTTCTACATTTAAACCACTTATTTTATGTTGGTCTTCCTAAATAAATAAAAAATAACTTTTATCCACAACTTCGTTCCCGTGACCGGGATGTATGAAAAGTAGCCTATATCCTTCATTCCAAATAGATGCATGTAAATCAAATTTTATGAGAGTTGGTAGAAACATGAGGCCCCAAAAAGGTAACATTAATTTATGTTAATGTTGCCCTGGCTTTCATTTTCGTCCGGGCTAATTTGTGCAATGAAATTTTGTTATGAAGTTTTGTGTTTGTTTTTGACTGATTTTCAATAGATTAAACTGACTTTGATTTTGTTGTTTAGTTATTTGTATGATGCAGGATTATATAAATAATCAAAGTCATTATAAAATCAAATATTTTTTGTAATATTGCTACATTAGTTATACCAGATTAAAGTAGTATTTGATTATAATTTATTCTAAATAAAAAGAGTCTCCCTATAAGATAAGGATTTAATAGTTTCTCTATATTTGTACTTTATTTTACTAGTCATTTTAGTTAGATATTTTTTTATTTATTCGCTCGTATTTTATCACTTATACCGAAGTACCGCCCCAGGCAAGTCGCGTTATTGCCAATATCGAAATAGTCCGCCATCTATCGAGATTACCTGCTTATCAAGGAAACCAAATAAATGTCAAGACATATCAGCTGTCCTGGGCTTATTTCGTAGTGACCAAATACGTTTTATCTTTATACGTTACATTAGAAATTGAGAGAAAATTAATATATTTACTTTTTAATTCTTTTTTATATACCTAATTGGTATGACAAACAAGCTAATGACTAAGATACCCAATGATAAGCGGCAACTTTACCTATAGATACGAATAATACCATGGTCATCATATAGTTTTTTGATGTCTATGATACCTCATGTATTGTTATGCCTCCAAACCCTGAATTCACTGCCCCATGTTAGGTTGTACCCGTAGTATTATGGCTTATTGGTTTATACTGCCTTTACCATAGACTACAAATATTGCTTCAAACATAGTTATTACAAAAAAGACTTTGTTTATGAATTTACATTTTAAATTATCTCACTGGTAATATTACTACTTACTACTACTGGTAATATTAATTTAGAATGAACGCGTGTCTACTACGCTTTCATTTTAAATTAATATTAGAGATGATTCTCTTGCCGTGTTGGATTCAAACATACCCATAAACAACCGTGTAGAATATTTAACTTCAATAAACAAATACACATATCACTTGGAAAACACAGTTCAATCTATATACTAAAAGAACTACAATCAAAAGTCCTCTATATTGGGGTTGCTTCGAAACAGAAGCACAAATCCTCGGAATAGTGAGGTCGTTCCGGAAACCTGTCAAGATACCAGGAATTTTCTGCGGTTCTGAAAGGAAATCGGCTGACTCCTTTTAGTATAATGTTGGCTTTACATGTATAACGGGGAAGTTAAATGCAGAAAACAAAGTCCTATTTAGATTACATTTTATTACAACAGCGAAAAAAGCATAAAACAGTGTTTATCAAATATACTCAATGAAATGTTGACTTGTCATCGTGACTTTGTTACACCTTAACGTCAATTATAGCGAATGCTTCTGACTACCCTCAATTGGTATGTTTTGAGATTGAATTATAATTTTTAAATAACATTGGAAATTTCCCTGCGTGTTTTCTTACAATAGCGATGGTTCGTTTAATTTAGAATTTTCCGAAGCATTAACTTGGACCTTCGAAATTAATTGCTTCGATTTAAATTGCAACAACGATTTTTCCAAGTTCGGCCACGCTTTAATGAATTTAAATTTGTTTTAGAAACAATATTATTCAATAATAACTCATAGGAACTTAGTAATACATACTATATATATATATATAGTATACTATAGTTTTTTTTTTTTGTCCCAATGAAGTAAATCTAACTACACTTATAAATAAACTACCATTTTGTAATGATATAATAATATGAGAGTGGGAGTAACCATTACTATTTTTATCTCAACAAAATCTGTAGAAACAAATCGGCTGAAATAAGATATCACTACAATATTTGTACCCATGCAATACCGGGGTATAATGTCAGTGTAAAATAATAATATAATAAAAATGTTGACAATATACTTGAAAACCGTAGAAAAATAATTAATGTATATACAATTGCTGGACGTTGGAATACTGTATACTTTCTCTCGAGTATTGTACAGATAATTAATAATGAAACAAGTCAATACATTTTGAAATCTTCTTTCAAATTTTAATAACAATATTGATATACCTATAAATATGAGGCAGCGACTAAGAAGAGCAATTTTTAAAATATTAAAGTGCAAAATAAATTACTTTCTTGGTACAAAATATTTATTCGTATGAAATTGTGAATTCATATTCTTTTCATTATTCTTTTAGCTTTAGATATTGCAGTAAATTGGTTGTCTAATATATCACGTTTTGCTCTTATAATTATAATAGTACCTAATTTCAACTGTTAAACCGTAATTCTTAGTTGCTTTGTAATTATCTAGATTAGTTTTAATTACCATACTGGCAAACTACAAACTTCTCTTACTACAAAGGTTCCATCACAAAGCTAAGTACACTGACGAACTCTGAAAACACTACAATTGCAGTTAGGTATTTCATGAATATGGAAATTCTCTCAGAAACTGGTAAATTGTTATACAGTTGTAAGACAAATAATGATTAAATGTAATTTAATAGCTCATATATATATATATATATATATATATATTTCTAGGAACTTAGGTATAATATTTTATACATATCTTCTGGGTAGAAATAAAAAATATTAATACAGAAATACAAAGCCAAAATGAAAGTACTTTCAAAGATAAGTAACAACAGCATTAAAAGATAAAAATATAATTGAAACATAACTTGAAACGGAATACAATATTTTGTTTTAATTGGAAAATGAACTGAGAGACGAATTTCTTAGCAATCAATGGATTTACTATGCGGGGGCCGGGTCCATTATGTGGCATAGAGGGAAACTTCGAGCAGCGTCTGGGACTTCAGATCCGGGTGTAGTTTTAAGGATTCGCTTGCCTACATACTATAAGACTTAACTTCACCAGTCGTTCTTTCTTACTCTACTTCTTTTCCTACTCAGCTATCTGTTGGAGGCTGTCAGTACAGCTATAGATATTCGTAATTTTAAGTTAATTTTAAAATTTAACTAAAAGATGAATATTAGTCGAATTTATTTTATAGTTGGCATATATGTATCGTACAATAGCATTAATAAATTATGGCATCCAATTTGTGTAGTCCATCTACTTAACTCACCATTTATTCTTACTAGTAACAATTCAGCTGAAATAATTCTTATTCTTCTGATAGTTTATGAAATTCCTTTCTTAAATTTCTTATTTTTATAAAATATTCAATCAACTTGATTCCATGTAGATAATGGTTTTGTAAAACATGATTCTTCGCTTATTTTCTTCCAACTCTTTTCGATGTTAAAAAGAGACTTTCCATTAGTTTCTGGCATCATACTAACTGCTACTATCATTGCATAAGCTATTATTCCACTATAAATACAATAGGCACCCGATAATTCTACACATGCAAACAAATATGGCAGTGTTTTCATTTTTACAGTGACATTAATAGAAATAAATATTGTAGACATCATACTATGTATTCCTTTATACCGTAAAGGTAAAATTTCACCTGCTATTGTATTTGTCAGAGGTTGTGCTCCAGCACCGGCAATGAACATATGAAATATAACAAGTCCAGTACCTACTGTAGGATAATTCGATGTTTTCCCTTGTTTGTCAATAAAATAAGACTTGGCAGCAATTAAAAAATATATAATAATATTTAAAGTAATAAATAATATTAGCATGGAACGACGTTTAAATTTTGTATGGATGAAAACAGCGCAGAATGATGCTATTATTCTAACGCTATCCATTATAATCATAAGAGCTGCTATATTAACTTGACTTCCTACGATTTTATGATATATATCAGTTGCATAAACATTCATCATTATACCGCCAGACCAAATATTTATTACATCTACATGTAACATTACAAATAACGGCTTAAAAAATACAGGATCTTTCACACAAATTATAATACTACTAATTTTATTTATAATTGATTTAGCCTTTTCATGACATATAACGTTTCTATTTAGTATGCGATCTTTGATCATTACCTCTAGTTCTTGATTTTCGTTTGTACCTCGAAGCCAGTGAAATACTTGTCTACACTCATCATACCTGCCTCGCGCAGCCAAGAATACAGGAGACTCAGGAGATATTATAATTACAATCAAATCAACTATTGTGATACCCAAGCAAATCATAGCTGTTGTACGCCAAGGAAGAAAGGACCCTAATGTATGGATTATTAAGTTCCCAATTGAAATTGTTAAAGTCATTGCTGTTAAGAATGCCCCTCGGTATTTCGGCGATGTGTATTCGCCCACTAGCATTGCAGAAGATAAGCTGGAAATACCAAGTGCAATGCCTTGGATAAATCTCCCAAATAAGATCATGTTGGTTCCGGGAGCTAACATTACGCAGAGCCAACCCACAATCATTATAATAGCATTGATGAGGTTAGCCTTCCTTCTGCCATATCTATACATTATGAATGGTGTTATTAATGCACCGAGAAATATAGAAGTGCCATGAATAGATGCTGAAAGAAAATAATATTGTATAGTGAAGTATTGTCAAATTCATAGATGATCTTTAAATAAGTAAGCTATAAAATTATTAATATTCTTTCTAGGCTTTATTATTTCTTAGCATTTGACATAAGTTAGTGCTATTCGGTAAAACTGCAAATACCTCACTCATTTAATCTCATCACTCTTACATCATTATTTTTGTATGCAAGTTTTTTGTTCGTCTTCGTTCTAATGTTACTCGTGGATCGAAATTGTGATATAACAGTTCTAAATATTTGTATATAGATCTATAAACACTTATTTATTAAGTCTATAGTTACAGTAATATTAAGCTTATAATTAATTTTCTTAGCACTCCCAATTCTAATTGCATACTCACCAATCCAAGATTCAACATTTTGATTGATATCTAAATATGTCTCATTGCGTAGTTGTGGTACCAGTACTCCTGTAAATGAGACTACTAAACTGTGCTCCATTATGCAAAGCGATACACCTGCTGTCACTAAACACTGAAAATGTCAAGACATCTGTAATTGGTTCAGCTACAGTGCTAGCATGTTTGTAGATTATTTTATTACTTTTTATGTATGTACCTAATTTAAATCGATAACAAGCCGACGAATTACCATGAGTAAGTTATAAGCATTGTTTATGAACTATGAACATAATATAAGCAAATAACTGCAACACAGTTTTTTGTAAACTAATGTAGTTGTTTACGTTTAATATGTTATTATTATAACTTTGTTTTTGGTTTAAATCAATTCTTTAATTCTTTAATAAGAATACATTATCATCCGACTCTTGTATTCATTTATAATTCATCAATTCCCGAGGTCTAAGATCTCATGGCTCTGTACCTATAATAACCTGTAATTTCACTGACTCATCCAGTCCTTTAAACAAAATACAGCTTACAAACTAAGCTGCTTTGCTGCTGACATACCCACGTAGACATAATTTTCCTTCTTTATTTTTACCGCTCAGCAGTTTGTTTTAGAAGTTTTGTTCCATTTAAAGGGTGAGATTTGGCAGTGAAATTTATTTATTTTTTATTTATTTATTTACTTAATACAGAAAACATGTGTACTAATTTACTAAAGAAACGATGATATTCACAGAAGTATAAAACTGTGTTGCAAATATCGACAAATTTTAAATTTACGGGATATAAGGGTATGCCTTGTACAGCAATAATAACAGATAAAGGATACCACAATTATTAGATAATGACTTGTGCGTGAAATTAGTTATAAAATAAATAAAACTCTATTAACAATTATAACCTTGAAGGAATTGACATTAAGTGTTACTGTAGTTCTGAGAAAATGTACGGATGAAAATAATAGTAACACATGTTTTTTATATGTAAATAATTTTACATTACGTACCTGTCTTAGAAAAGGTTTTATTTCAGCATCGAAATTCATTTTCCTATATTTACTAAATGTATATATGTACAAAAACCAGTGTGAACGTCACAAGAAATTACATGCTAATGAAGCAATGTAATTAATTATAAAAAAGTATTGTTTAACAACATGTTTTTCCGTGCACAGTGGTAAAGAAAAACTATTTAATCGAGGATTCCGTATTCTGAATTCTGTTATTTTTATATAATATTTAGACATTTAGATATTCTATGTGGATATTGAATAACGTAGCGTTACCAATCTAATGTTGAATACCATTAATGTTTTCTATGTAGACTCTTTCAGATGGTGAATTGTTCGTAATGTTAAGAATGTAACAGAAAAATTAAATTGACAGAAATTAAATTATTATTATTTTATTTGACAAATAGATAGATGTTTTTATTTACATCTGTTATTCACTACTATTTAATATTTAAAATTCTCGTAATACTTACATTATTGTAAAGTCATAGAATATTCAGTTTCCAATAAATTAAAATGGAGCTAAAATGAAGTAAAAGAATATGCCAATATAAAGTTACGTTAATTTAATTTACTTATTTTATTTTCGTTTCGATAATTAAACAGTATGAATAATATTCATAAAAAATTGAATATATACACTTTTTTAAATATTAGTTAAAAAGAATATATATATATATAATATAATTTTCCGACTTTCCTGGAACATATTTAGTTTTTAATTGTTTGTATTAATCAAACATATTTTATTCAAAAGTGCTAAAATGTTGGTTTATTTGAATAAAAAAATTTCTATTTTATTTCATTGCATATGAAGAAAATAGAGAAAGAGGTAGACGGCTGTTGTTATTTTAGAATTGTAACTGTTGTTAATATTATGATGGCTATAATTTTAAATAATAATAGAAATGATTAAATTAGCATTAGTTACACATGTAAGTATATTCGATAATATTAATGTATAAAAGCTGTTACCACTTATGGCACAATGGCAGTCATCTTGTTTGCTATTCCTCCCTTTATATAAGAATAGTTATTTTTTTTACTTTATAAACTATATCATAATATTAGGTATACCAAGAATTACCTTGAAAGTATGGAACCCTGAATGAAGGAACGCTTTTATCGTTCTCCACTAAAGTTTTTTTTACATTCAAATAAATTTACATTTGTAATTGACAAATTAAAAATTATCAAGTGGTTTTATTGTTTATGATTAAACACTTGCTAATTTATTTATTGCGTCGAAAGGATATATAAAAATACTGAATTATCTATTGTTACAAATATATTGTTTTATTTTACCTTTTAGTTATTTTTGTGGTCCTATTATTGTATTTGTTGTCTTACTACTATTATAAACAAAAATTTGTGAGTATGGGCGGGTGTTTCCTATTCTTATTTCACGCAAAAACTATTGAACGGATTTATTCGTCGGCTATATTTTTTAATATATAGCCGACGAATTTCATGCACAATTAGTTGTAATATACATCTATTTGAGTTGTGTGACTGAACAAAAATAATCTTAATTTCTATCATTGAAAGAAGAACATAACTTATTAGATAAATTATAATTTAATAAATCTAGATTAAAATATGTTTAGTCTGTAGTCAACAAAAAACGAGGTACCACAAATTAAAAAAAAAAAATCATCGAGTAAAGTAAATTACTCATCATACACCAATAGATGTAAATATATATATACAACAATTTAGATGTGACACAACAAAATTCAATTTCAATAAGACCAGTACTGCAGTCAAAACTAAAAAGCACTTTTAGGTAACGTTAAAAAAATAAATAGAAGAATAATTCTGTATTAAAAAAATAAATTGTACATGGATTATAGTTAAATTTCTGTAAAAATATGTATTTATGTATATATATGTATTTAGGTAGGTATTAAGAAAACTGAGCTATATCTTGCCAACAAACTGCAGCAGTGACTGCAGTTTGGCGTCTTTATATTATTATTATCAATAAAAATAGACAGATTTATTTTTATACAATGACTCCATTGTATAAAAATAAATCTGTCTATTTTTATTGATAATAATAATATAAAGATAAAATAATATGCAATGGAGAGTTAGCTTGCCTTTGCGTTTTACCATATTACAGTGTTCTACAGCCGGGCTCACCATGTCGTCACCTGTCTGGACATTTTACTGTGCATGAATAATTCAAGCCGCCTGATTATGTAGCAGCATACATTTACAACCCACTAGCACAAGGAGGAGGAAGGAGGTATTCAATTATACTACATTTTTCTTGTTCCTTTTCTTGTATAAAACATGCAGGAAAGGCATGATTATGTGAAGTACTGAGGTAAAGAATGTACAAATTCGTCTGCGTGGGTCTAATCTATTTCAGCTACTCGCATAGCGGTTTCTTTGTCGGCTGTTTCGGTTAGAGGGTAAATAGCAGTGAAAATTACAGGCTATGGCAGTGAAAAGTACAGAGGCTACGAGACGTCATCTTAGTACTTCGAAATAGCACTGAGTTATGGGATACTACGGGCATCACGTAATGACTTGATATCCGAAATCCATTCATGTAATATATCGGCCGTATTCACTTAATATCACTTAATATCGGGCGATCTTCTTAGATGGTTCTCGTCATACATTGATAATCGTTCTCAAGCTGTTGTAGTCAATAATTATGTTTCAAGCTGGGTTTCTATCCCCAGCGGCATTCCTCAGGATTCCTTATTGAGTCCTTTATTATTTATTATTTTCGTCAATGACATCAGTAAATGCTTTCATTTCTCTAAACTCCTGTGTTTTGCTGATGACATGAAAATTTTTTCTAAAATATCAAATCTATCTGATATTGCAGCTATTCAGTCTGACTTACATAGACTAGACAACTACTGCGTCATTAACAAGTTAGATTTGAATCCTTCGAAGTGTTTTTCGGTTACATTTACACGCAAACTTAACTCTATTCATAATAATTATTTGCTTAAGGGTCAACAGCTAAAAAAAGTATCGCAGATAAATGATTTAGGAATAACACTCGATTCTAAATTAATATTCGACACACATATTAACAATATTGTTAATAATGCAATGCGCGCCCTGGGATTTGTTATGCGTAACTCCAGCTGCTTCGTACAAGCTAAAACTTTAAAAATACTTTACTGTACACTGGTGCGCAGTAAGTTGGAGTATGCATCTCAGATTTGGAACCCCAGATATGATACGTACATTGCACGTATCGAAAATGTGCAGAAAAAATTTGTCCGTTTTCTTGCCTACCGTATCAAACAGCAATATGACTCTAAACATTATATTAGTATGTGTAAAAAACACCACTTACTTACCCTTGAGAAACGCCGTGAAATTGCTGATATCATTTACTTGATCAAAGTAGCCTCCGGTGTCATAGACTGTCCTGAGTTACTTTCAAAATTTAATTTTAATGTACCAGCTAAACGTACCAGATTTACTCCTTCTATTTCTATACCTTCTGTATCATCTAACTATAGGCAAAACAGTTATATGTGGCGAGCAAGTAATAACTTCAATAGATTAAGTAGGGTGTTAGATATTGATTTGTTTTCCGATGGAATATCTTTAGCGAGGGCCGTGATGAGCAGGCAATTCTTTGAGTTATAGGTATTGAATTTAATGTTACTTATATGCATTTCCATTATTCAAAACATGAATGTTTGTTAATTTCAGCATATGTTTTAATTTAGTGGATTGTTATTGTTTGATATATGATTTTATGAGTATTTATAACACAAGCACGCCTCTCATGTTAGCACTGTAATTTTTTTTATATTACGTTTCTATCCGTGGAAACCTATAAGTGGCCGTTATCATTTAATTATGTTTATAACTATGTTTGTAAATAGCCTTGGTTTTCCGAAAATAAATAAATAAATATAAATTAAATTAATAGTGATGGTACTCGTAGTACGAAGTGATTCACATAACAGTTCGTTGTCAAATACGTTGTACGAAACGAAATAACAGTGATAGTACTAAGTAATTCACGTAACAGTTCGTTGTCAATTACGTTGAACAAAATAAAAGAATATGTGAATTACATGCAATTTTGATTA